GGTAAAAACCTAGATCGTCCTTTTCACTTGAAGACAATCCAATGGAATAAAGAATATTTTATACCTCATAAATGAACTCCTAGGATCTTCATTCACTTTTGAACCATAAAACATAGGAGGGTTCGTCCTCATGAAGTCCCTCAAGCAAGAAGTCGTAATACTAGCATTGGTTTGAACACGAGGTCCAACTTCCCGATTGGCTTGAGCCAACATGGCTAGGGCTTGAGAGGCTACCACTTGAGCTTGAGTAGTCATGGCTTGAGACAAAATCAATAATACCAACTTTATATCTCAAACTTTCATAGGTGGAGGAATGACCAGAACTTGGACTTATGGAGAAACTCGGTTGTCTTGTGGAGGGACTTGGTTATCTTGTGGAGGAACTCCCGAATTAGCCAAACCTTCCTCAACCCTCCTTGTCAATGCAGTTCTTGTAGTAATATAGTATATTCATAAGAAAAATATTAAAGAAAGAAGGTCGCATAGTATTAGCACTCATGTGGCACGACATTCAAGATTACCAATAATTTAGAATGCCTAGGCGTCACATAACTTCTCATTCATAAGTGTGGCACACTTCACACCCATGAATAAGACCCTAGTAAATGTGGTTCAATAAGGCATCAATCCTAATGTTTCTTTAACCTCATGTTCTAATACCAAGATGTCATGACTGGGAAACACCCCCTAGACATAGCCGGCGTCATCGTCCTCGGATAAGACTAAGACTAGCCTCTTTGCATTCGTCATCACATTTCATAGGCTAAAAATGCAAAAAAAAAATTAACACTTTTCATACACATCTATGTAATTAGGTTTACATAGACCTCTCACATACTACATATGGATTTTAAATAGGCTCTTCACATAGAAAGCTTTTCAGAGGCTTCTCGATTAGACAACATTATAAAAATAGAAGAAATAGTCTAATACTTTTTTACATATTGAACCATCTAAATGAGGAGAAACCTTGGACATAGGAAATACAAAGTCAACATGCCAATATGGGCTTACATCAATATTCAAATGATAAAGGAATGAATAATGTCTGAAGAAAATATAACTTTAAAGCTAGAATGTTGAACAAGGTAAATCCTCAAACATGATTACCTAATAATACTTGGGAAACAGAATCCAACTATTCTTCAATTGGCATTATATAAACTCAATGGCTGAAACCTACACAATTTTCAAAACATAGAAATATGGGTTAGTACACCACTTGTACTAAGTATGTGAACATATGCACATAAACATTGAAATCATACTAAAAAAGACATTTGGGCCAAACCATGCTAAGTTACCATTTTGAAAAACCTTATGCACAACCAAAAACACATATAAGTCAACATTCATATATTCCTTATAACAAGACCATACACAACACAGTACAGACATCATCAAATAAATACAAGTTAGCATGTGTATTAGCATATTAGAACACATAACCAAGGAAACTGGAACATCACATTATAATAACAAAAAACGTACAACCGTTCATAACCTTACAACATATGCAAGACCCATATTCAAAACACATTACCAAGATTACAATTGCAATTACCAAGTGAAATCCCATAACCTTACTTAACCAAGTAAACCCAACAAAAGATCAACAAATAATGTCTAACTTCATATAGCATAGCATTAAGAGAGTCATCATCATGTATAGCAAAATAGATCATATAAGATCATCAACATGTAAAGTCGCCAGTTTCATATCATAGACTTTGTAAAAACATAAGAACATCCTGTTAGGACTTCCCTCAAGGACAACTAGTATATTGTATAGGTAAAGTCCCATACCCCTTCCTAGAGTAAGTCAAACCCCTCAAGTCACCCTATTTAGAATTCACTTTATCACTTCATTTTACTTTCGATAACACTTGCCTTAACCGAGACAGATCACATAAGCTAAATTTAGAACTCGATATCATGAAACCCTACACCGAAAAAGGTGTATTAATTGTAAAGGTAGTACCAAAATATGAACATAACATTCTAGGTGTATCCACTTGCTAGTATTTCTATGGGGGAAATATAGTTCAATAACTAAAAGACATAATAGAGACTCTTTTTATGCCATTGGTATTGTAATCTCCATCTCATGAGAATGTAGTGAACCTACCTTCTTTTCTTGGGAATAGACACTCCTCACTACTAGCTCCCTCGGTGCTAAGCTAGAGTCCCATATTGAAATGTGTTTAAGTCTTTATTAATCAGCATAACATATGATAGGTCACAGGAGACTAACCCCCTTGTATATCATGATCATTTCATCATTACGAATTTCATGCGAACTTATTTTCAATACAACCCTCATATGTGAGATTAACACATTATCATCATCATGTCATTGTAAGACTCACAAGTAATTCATAATCAACTCTATATAATCATACCTTAATCATAATATCATAATCTGTCACGACCCAAATCAAGCCATGAGTGGCACCCACATTTATCCTCCTATGTGAGCGAACCAACCAATCTAAACCCCAACATTTAACCATAATAAATAGAATACAATGCGGAAGACTTAAAACTCATCAATAAAAATAGATTAATAACTTCTAAAACTCAAACACTTATTATTATCCCCAAAATCTGGAAGTCATCATCACAAGAACATCTATCCTCAAATTACTAAAGCTAAGAGTATCTAAGAAACTAAACATAAATAATAGCTAGTCTATGCCAGAACATCAAAACTTCAAAACATGAAGAAGAAGATCCAGTCCAAGCTAGAAGCTTTAGCTCACCCTGAAATCTGACGTGATGAAGACTGGCTAGAGTTGCGGTTGAATTGAAAACGACGGTATGTTTGCTGCACTCCACAATGAACAAAAGGAAAACATACAAGTAGGGGTCAGTACAAAACACGAGTTATGAGTAGATATCATCGGCCAACTCAAAATAGAAAACAGTATATATCAGATATTATCATAAAATCAACTACAATACTGAACAGGTAGCAACAACAAGTACAATAATCATTAATAAGTACGCCAAGTACACCCATGAAGATGCAAGCCTCCATACCATACTCATTTAGGAAATAGGTTCATTAAATCTTAGTATATTACCATAATTCAAGATTCACTCTCTTTATTCCTCTTGTGTCGGAACGTGACACTCCGATCCCCTAATACTACGTGTCCGTTCGTGACACCCGATCCCCCTAATAATACGTGTCGGTTCGTGACACCTGATCCCCCTATTATTACGTGTCGGTTCGTGACACCCGATCCCCCTATTACTACGTGTCGATTCGTGACACCCGATCCCCCTATTACTACGTGTCGGTTCGTGACACCCGATCCCCTAACCTCATTCTTTTAGTTCATCAAGCCTTCTTTAATACAAAGGCATCATCATTAACAAGAGTTTTTCAATATTTAGGATTCAATATCTTCATCATGCTTATTTCATCACAATTATATCATCACATCCATGCAACCATACAATTATGCATATAGAAGGGTTTACAACACTACCCAATACATATCATTCGCCATTAAGAGTTTACTACGAATAGCATAAAAACCATAACCTACCTGCACCGAAGAATTGTAATCAAGCAAGATAATCCTCAAAATCTTTGCTTTCTTCTTCGTTCCTCTCTTTCTCGATCGTTTCTCCCTCCTCTCTCTATTCTTTCTATCTTTCTTATTCAAACCCTTTTTCTTTTACCCTAGTTAGCATATAATTAAGTATAAAAGATGACAAAAGTAACCCACTAATTAATTTAAGGTTATATCCTTTAACCCTCAAGAAATTGGATTATTAATATTCAACCACTAACTTTATAATTATAAGTAGGAATAGTCCAAAACACCCCTTAAAATATTAAACAGAAATCTAACCCAGTCAGGATTACGCAGACTGTGACGGCCCGTGGTGCCTGCGACGGTCCGTCCTGCTACTTCTGTCACAAGGTTCAGATACTCGATTTATTAAAGAGTCTGTGACGGCCCGTCATGCCTATGATGGCCCGTCATGCCTGTGACAGTCCGTTCTTCCACCTCGTCAAGAAGTTCAGAGAGTCGATTTCAGTACCCAAATTTCAGAATTCTAAGTGTTTTGGAATGAGACCCCCTCGACGGTCTGTCGTGCCCATGACCGTCCGTCGTGGGATCCGTCGTCTTAGCCAGTTTTTCCAGAAATAAAATATGCTGCTCAAAACGACTAAACAGGTCGTTACATAATCCATATAATTAAGACATATCAATTACATTCATCATAACATCACCTATATAATTTAATCACAATCAACACTTCAATTGAATACCATCATCAGGCATAAGCCATGACAATTAAAGTAAGGATTAAAGATCATAGGTCTTACGAATTCAATTTCACAAGCCTTCTTCCATGGTCTTACATCAACCAACGATATTCATCCACTAATATACATAATAAAATCACACAATAGTAATTAATGTAAGAACTAATTCAATTGCGTCATCACTATCAAATTTAACATCAATTGATCAACTAGGGTTAGGGAAATAGGGGCAATTCATAATCTCTTCTATTGAAATAGGTTTACATCAAGAAATTGCCTAATGCATCAATAGTCAATCATGATTCATCCATAATAATAAAAAGAAATCAAGAAAAATAAAATTTTAAACATCACTTTTTTGTTAAGAATGAAACCCATGTTTTTCTCAACTTTTAAAAATCAATTTGAAAGAACCCTTTGGGAAAGGAGTCCCAAAGCTAAAGAGTTTTCATACCTTGTTAATCCTTGAAGATTGATAGAGAAAAAGTAGAAATATTTCATTCCTAAGACCTTTGACCATGGTCTTCAAAAGAGTCTTCTTTGGGGAGAGAGAAGTAGATACAAGAAAGATTATTTGAGTTTGGGAACTGAAGAATGTTTTTTTTTTCATCAAAAGAAACTAGAAAAATAATGTGATTTATCAAACTGTAAACAAACAAACAAATAAAAGTTGGTAGTTACATTTTTAAAGAATTAAATTGAATAATACCAATTGACTAATCAAATTCTCAACTAAAAAAATAAAATAAGAGTACTCAAATCTTTTTTTTATTTCCCCAACTCAATCAACCGACCAAATTTTATGTCAGAGAGAATCAAAACCACCTGTATCATCACCGTCACAAGTGTTGCAAATAACAGAGCCCTGCCCAATTTCTCCGCCGCAATTCTCGGCCCATCGCCGCCTCTTGTCCGATTCAACTTCATGGCTTCCTAATTCGCCGCTTCAATCAAGATTCCGGCGGCTGAGGAATTCACAACAAGGATGATGAGTCTTCGCCCAAATCCATTGAAGACTTGGCAGAAACCGGAATTGAAGCGAATCTCGACGAGAAATCACGAAATAAACTATCGTCTTCCGATTGATCGTTTACCCCTGGTCCATCATCGAAATTCAAGGAGTAACTCATGGGGTCGTAATTGAATTTATTAGTTTTAGAACGATTTTTATTGAATCGTCTAATAAATGTCTTCCATTTTGGACCTGCCACAAGTTCCGACCACTCCCTGGCTTTCATAACAGCGTTTAACCCCTTATCCCACCAATGCGTTTCTTCCTTTTGATCACTGGTAGAGACTCGTTCCCAAACGCCTCTTCCACATGTGAAAGATGGAAACCAAAAACAACAACCCCTTTTTGTGAATTCGAGCTCCTGCAATTCTTCATTCAACTCCGAGTCTTTTGTGTTTGTTTGACCCGCCATGTTTCAAGAAATTGACGACAACAAGAAGAAAGGAGAAAATATCACACAATCCGCAACCCCTTTAAATTAGGGGTTTTGTTGTTTGCAGATAAATATGGAATTTTATCAGAAACCCTAAAGCATTCGGGTCTGGATGGAACTGAAGAATGTTAGGTTAGTTTATTGAGTGTTAGGACTTTTATAGTATTCTAACTAACTAAACTAAGTGAAACACCCATTAACCCGTAATTAAATCAAGAAATAATTATGAAATTAAATGACTTCATTAAAAAATGGACAAAAAAAGACCAGACCTGACCTACAAGACCCGACCTACTGTCCGTAGGACAGTCGACGCTAACCCACCCCCGTACTGCACAACCATCGTGGGTGACAAAGATTTGATTTTTGGAAACTTTTTGAAAATGTATATGGAATCACCTATGTAGTCCATTGACGCCTCGTCGATCAGACGACGGATCATCCTTCGTCTCATAAGTGACCACTGTAATTTGACATCTTTTGAATATATTCAAAGAGTCCTTCTCAAGGACCCCTAAGTTGGTCCTTTGGAAATCTTACCTGAATGTTTCGAACCAAAAAACACACTCTAATACATGTTTAACACCTTTCAAGAAAATTTCATTAAAATTCGACTTCTAATACCCCATGAAACATGCAAAGGTACACTAACGCCTATTTCACTAGTCACAGGAAATCATGGACATTCCTTGATGTTTTGACTCTAAAACGCCTAAATTGTTTATGTTAATTATTTTAGGCCTTTATTTTTTTTACAAACCTTATTTTAACATGTTAGGATCTATATTAGGTCATAGATTTTCGGAGTGTTACCGATCCCCTTATACAGTCAAGAGAATAGACAAGAATTCAACTCCGAGCATTCAAGCTTGGTGTGCAAGTTTTATACTTTTTTTTTGGTAATTAGAATTATAATAATACGTTTAAATCTCTCTTCATATATTTAAATAATTTTTTTGTTAACAACTTTCTTTAATTTCATATTTTTATTTTGCATGCTCAAATATCAAGTTTTAATTATAGTGTCAAAAACAAAAAAATGCCTAGTGTCTTGCTCGTGTATATATTTGTTCTTTTTTTGGTACTTTAAACTTATAATATTACATGTACATAGACTTTATTCTCTAAGATTTAATGAGACAAAATGTTTACTCTTTTTTTTTTTCCAAAAAAAATGAAAGAAGTTGAATATATAACATTAGATTAATGGTGGATGAGTAATGTATGAAGAGAAAATTAAATTGCATAGAATATTATTAGTCATGTTGATAAATATCTTGATTTTCAAAGTATAAATAATAATAATTTTACACCTTAGTTTTAAATATTTATAATTAATTAATTCGTTTAAAGTTCTTGTGGATAAAAATTTACTATAATATTTTGAACACATTTATTATAATTATTAGGAGATTCAAAAGGTAACGTAAAAAAGTGGAAAGATTTTGTATTTATTTCACTCAAAGTTAATCATACGCTATTTTTTATAGTAAAAGTAAATACTCCCCACTCGTTCTTTTAATTGAAGAAATATTAATATTGCACTACGATTAGCTAGATCATTAATATCATGCAATAATCTTTTCATCTTCTAACATCATTCTACCACAGAACTTTTAGCACTATAGAGAAATTTTATTTAGATAGTTGTTGTCCTTTCTTTTTTGCTTTACAAGCTTACATTTTAGCTTATAAATAGAATTTATTTTATTAATGATACACTCAAATTATACCTTCCTAATAAAGTTTAAGCGATTGTAATTAAGTAGAGAACCTAAATAGTAGGTTGGGGTTGATCCCATGAGCAAAATGGTTAAGACTTTACATTAAATCACAATTACGTCTCTTTAGCCAATTTCTTTCCGTAAGCAAGTAATTAAAGGGGAGATTTAAGTAAAACAAGTTCCTTAAATATTCTAAGTTAATCAAGTAAATAAAAGTAGATGTTGAATTTTTATGAATTTGTGAGAATAACTAGGGATATGTTTTCCCCACAGTTTTGTAACGTCATATTCCTAGCAATAACAATTCTTTCCTAATGTTTTACAAGCAAAGTGGCAAGTTAGGTATCTCTAAATCCTTGGTTTAACATCTAGAGAATTTCACTTCGCACCTAGGTCTAGCTACGTGCATATGCTTTATTAATCCATAGCTTTACCTCATATTAGACATCATAATCGATATATGGCTTAGTTATTAGTTCGTACCATTCGACACTACCCTATTAGCTAGTATCACACTAAATCTATAATGATAATTCTTTTCCTATTCCTACCTCCTTGGTCTGGTAAGTAGAAACAAGGTGAGTACTCATGCATACACTCGTTAAAAAGACTTCTAAGCTAAATAATTATCAATACATGCAAAAACACTATTTGAGAATTGCTTAATTGCTAGTTATACTTTGTTAACTACCTATGGTTCCCACAACCCTATTTGTGGATTTAGTTACCCATGCAAGAAAGATCAAAATTCATAGCTTTGAAGAAATAAATCATGAACTTACGTAAAAACAACAAGAAACCTTAAAATTCAACTTGAAATTGAAAGAAAACCTTCAACACAAAACAAAAAATTGATTAATTTCCCAAGTTTGCAAAACCCAATCTCCAAAACACAAAATTGAACAATTACAGTATTATCTAACTCCCAAAATGAGGGTTTAAAGCCCTATATATAGAAAACATAGTCCAAAATAAAAAGGAATTTAAATAAGGAAAGTTTGTTAAGTTGACACGACTTTAATCTATGATCAAACCGTAGACTCCTTCCATCGGTTAGGACACGAAATTTTTTTCCATCCTCGGATGACACCTTCTCTGAATCAATCGACGGATCAAGAACACACTCCGTCTATGCATCTACAGTCAGTCGATGCATCTACGGTCCATCGAGGCTCCTCCATCGCTCCACACTTATAATTTCCATGATCGGATTCTAGAACCTTCTCTAAACAAAACGGCGATTAACTAGTACGTCCGATCGATCAATCGATGGACCGTCGTTGCATCTCGTAATTCAACACATGGTAAGACTTCTCCAACTTTTTCAAAGTCCTGATATTCCCATGTATGGTCAGTGACTATGGTCTGTCGATTGCCCCCTTAGGTCATGTTCTGTATTATTTTATGTTTTTTCCTTATCTAGCCGCCTGAACATCTTTCTTGCAACACAAACACAAAACTTGTTAAAACTACTACAAAAAGGCTCGAGACACACACAAATCTTGAGTAAAATGCAATTAAAATATTGTGAAGCCACAATACATCAACACCCTCAATTTTGATTTATTGTTTTTCCTCAAGCGACACGCTATGACTCAAAAAAAACATTTGTACAAAAGTATACACTTTTAAGCTCTAGCAATCACATGACTATCACTCCCAACTCTTTATTTGATTTGGTGCAGGCTTACTCTCTCTATTTCAAAAGAGAACTCATGCAGATAAAATCATGACACAAACTAACCATGCAACAAACACCATTACTATTTTGCCTCCCACAGGGGTACCAATTTTCTGATACCGCAACTATTGCCCTCACTTTAAAGAAATCCTCATTTTTCACACAATGATAATGAATTTGGGTACATGGATCTTTTCTCAACATTCGTACTCAAGAACAAGTTCATATACAGTTAGCACTATTCCCCATAAGCTTACCCTTTTTTCACTACTTAGGTTCACCACACTAGATTCTAGGATCACAATAGGAGTTTCTTGGTTTGTAACACAGTCTCAGGGTCAGGTGTGGTATTTTTAGTGACTTTTTGCCCTCTTTGACATTACCACTAAGCTTCCTACCTCTTTTCATTGCCATTGACATCCTATTTTTCTTCTCTTTTTTTTCTAATTTTTCTTTTATTTTAATCAATTGATAAATTCACAAAGTCACATCTTTCGCCCACTTAAGCTTTTCTTTTTCAACATCCAACTCTTTTCATACCTATTTATGGGTCCTAACTCATAGTAGCCACCCTCAACTCATTGCTTTTTCATGAGTTATGGTACACAATACCCAAAGTCGGGTCAGGGACAAGACGAGGTCACTTCCTACATTAGCCACCCTCAACTTAGGCTTTTGTCCTATATCGGGGTTCACATGTCCAATGAGGGACTAAGGTGAAAATATTAGACCTTGGGAACATGAATTGGTGAAAACAAAATTTGGTCTATTACATGTTCAAATATATTGATAAAAAAGGATTATCTTTCATTTGGTTAACTTTTGTTAGACTAGATATTGTCTATTTTGAACAAGGGCCTATGATCACTTCTTAACTTCTAACACAGATTCCCTTTGCAGGACTAACTGGGCAAGTTTTAGTTAGGTACCAATCGTTGAACACTCAAATATCCTCACACTCTCTTGGAACATTATTACACTATTACATTATCAGCTTTCCCAGTTTAGGTGTTAGTTGAAGGTCATGCAGTAGGTGCTTATTTATGTCAAGCTTAAAGCCAACATATTGCACTTATTTTCACCTATATCTGTAAGGACTATCAATGATGGGGTATCAATTTTATCAGCCATCAGGCTCTCTTTTTCACGATTATATACTTGTACAAACTACGACATGCTAGTTCAATAGAAAATTAAGTAGTCTCTTGGGGAAAAAGAACACAGGCAAGAAAACCCCAAAAGAGGATTCTAAGGTGGGCTACTAAGACTTCACCTTATCATTCACTTTCCATTTCCCCACTCCTAAATAATGCGATCATTCCCAATGCATAAGAAATAAAAGATATGGAGAGGTAGGTAAAACAAACCTATGGCTCATAGCGCTGAAGAACCTCAACATGCAGGTGGGTCCGATTTCCCTGAACCCATAAGCTGATCACTAGGGTCAGCCTCAATAGTGCCCACATCAACTTCTGCACCCTCATTAGTTCTCCTCTAACACCGGTAAAAAACTCGATGCTGAAGCGACTATCTCAAGTGCTCTCCTCTAGCGTATCTCCTCCTCAAACAAAGAGGCCCTCCTAGCCTGCTCTAACTGCTTCCTCTATCTCTCTTTCTCTACTGGGCCTCATCACTAGACTTAGTAGTGCGGTTGGAGAGTTGCCTCTTTGTATGCCCTTGTTGCTCAGACGGTAGCTCAATAG